TTATATAACTGAGTATTTCTATCTTTCTCTATATATTCTACTAAAAAGAAGTTTATCAGATAGCTAGTTATCTAACTTTTTAAAAGTAGTTCTAAGAGAAGAAGAAGATAAGAAATTATCTTAGTTAAAAAAAAAAAACCTTTTCTAAATTGTTACTTTAAAAAAATATTAATTAGTAGATACTTATTATTAGATATTTTAAAAAAAAGCTAAGAAATATAAAAAAACAATTATGTATTATCTTAGATCTAATTAATTATATTTATTATATAGAAACTCTAATAGATAGCTATATTCTATATAGAATAATTAGTAAAATCTTGATAAATAAGTACTAATTAGAGTATATAAAAACTAAGTTCTATAAAAGTTAGAGATTTAAAAGAAGAAAGACTTATATTAATTAGCTAACTAAAATTAGACTAGATATAGTAGAAAATCTATATTTCTATAGATATAATATTAATCTAGATTTACTCTAAACAAAGTACTAAAATACTATTATTTGGACTAGAAACTCTATATTAGAGATTAAAAGATTAGAAGTAGAAATAAAATATAGTTAGAAAAAGAAGTATTCTATATACTCTATTTCTATTAATATCTAATATATATAAAAGAACTGTATAAAAAAGAAGAAATCTACTAAAATCTTTACTATTAGTTTAACTAGTATTAAAAATGTTCTTTTAAACTAAATTATTCTAAGAATTCTAAAAAACATTAAGGAAAAGCTATTTTATTAGTACTACTAATTTCTTAAGATATTTAAATTAAAGGGAATCAAAGATCTTTCTTTATATTATCTAAAAATAGACTATACTATTAATCTAGAAAAAATATTAATAAAAAAAAGAAAAGAAAATGCTCTAAGAACTTTTCTATTAGATATATTAGAATAAGCTTCTAGTTTTTATAAGATTTTTAATTATTATCAAAAAAAAAAAGACTTTATTTAAATCAGTACCTTATCTATATTAGTACTAGCATCATATATCTAGAAGTCTAGAGAAAGTCTTTAATTCTATATAGATTAATAAATATTGAACTATATTATAATTAGAAATTATTATTTCTTATCTTTAAATTAGAAGATTTTATAGAAGATCTTCTAATTTAGATAACTATTAAGAAAGATATTTCTAAGAAAGCTAAAAAGACTAACTCTAAGAACTAGCTAGTGAAGCTAGTGGATAAGAACTATTAGTTAATAGATTAGAATAAGCTACTTCTAGATAAGTAGTAGAAGTAGACTAAAAATAGTAATAAAGATCTTACTAGTTACTACAATAGTATTTAAAAAAAATTTAAACTAATTAAAAAGCTAAAGCTTAAGATCTTAATTATAAAGTATATTCTAGATGCTAATAAATATTTATTCTTTTAGAAATATCTTTAAATTCTTAACTTAGAGTCTCTAAGAACTAGAATTATATAGAAAAGCTATAATAATATTATTATTAGATATTCTAGATAGAATTATATCTAAAAGATAATAGTTTATATATACTTTTAATTATATATAGGTAAGAATATCTATAAATTCTACTATAACTATAATAGCTATATAACAAATTAGATCTAAAGAAATTCAAAGTAGACACTTCTAAAATCTTTACTAGTATTTAAATATCTATAATAAGATAGTTTTATAGATTTTATCATATAATTATTTAAATCTAGAAAATTTAGAAATATAATAGTAATTACTAACTAGTTAACTAAAGAAGTAATTGTTAAACTAATAGTAGATATAAGTACTAAGATAATAATAGATATTTTAATTGAATTTTCAATAGTAGGTATAGAATATTTAAACTTATTATTTTAGATTAAGATTTATAGTTTATTAGTTTGCTCTAGAAGCTTTTATATAGGATTATAGAAATTAGTAGAGATCTTTTAATTATATATTATTCTAAAATAAATAGTACTATAAAAAGAAAAATAATAATCATTAAGATTTTTCTTAGATACTTTATAAGTTAAGTCTAGATTAACTAGTATAGATTCTTATTTATAGTCTAGCTACTTCTAAATAATAGAGATTTATTAACTATAGAAATAAGTCTATATTTCTAAAATATAGCTTTTATATAAAGTCTCTAAATACTAATATTGAATTAAGTCTATAGATTAAGGAAATAAGATAAAAAGCTTAGATTAAAGTCTAGAATATTCTAAATAAACTATAAAGAATCTAAGATATAGTAAGCTTTAGTATAGCTACTACTTAAAAAGTTTAGAAGAGATATATTAACTTGTAAAAAAATTCTATCTTCTACTATAAAGAAAATAATAAGATTCTAACTAAATCTCTATAATATTACTATAAAAAATTTTATTAAGAAACTAGAGTACTATAATACTAAGTTTACTATAGTTAAGCTAGTTGACTTATATATATATTAATTAATTATATCTACTAAAATTTATTCTATAAGCTATATAAATATACTAAGATCTAGAGCTACTAATCTATTATTATTTTAAGAACTTAAGAACTAGTAGTTAAATATAATATTAATAAATAAAAATAAAGAATTTTATATAGAAGAAATTTTAAATAAATAAATCTAGTATCTAAATTAATATAGTAAATATAAAAAGTATCTAGTAAAATAGATTAAATATTTATAATTTAGCTAGAAATCCCTAGAACTAGTTAAAAATATAGTAGTACTTAAATAATAACTTAAGTAAAGTATAATTCTATCTATCTATTCTTCTTTAGAGAAGATATAGTCTAAAGAAATATATAATTTAAAAGACTAAAGCTAGTAAATTATCTAGTAGTAGAACTTACAAAGTTCTGTCTTATCTAGATTCTTTATTAAAAGTAGATCTTTATTTATTATTTAGTAAAATAGGATTTACTAGTTAATAGTTCTTTATATTAAGCTAATAAACTTTTTAAGAATTCTACTCTATAGACTTCTCTATATAAAATAAATATTAGATTAAGATCTGATTATTTTTAATAGTTCTTTAAGTAATTTAACTTTAGATTAGTTACTTATTACTTTTACTACACAAGCTATTCAACCCTTGATATAAGATAGATAGTACTATCTAGATATTACTACTTCTATCTCTAGTTATATATATTAATATCTCTAATTATATATCTATAAGATAGTTATTCTATATACTTGTATATAGTATTAAGCTTTACTAGTCATAGTATCTATTAAAGTATTTTCTAGATAATCTATATTTATATCAAGACTTTACCAGCTTATAAGGGCTGAGAGAGCCCTACAACTTCCCTTTAGGGAAGAAAAGTATCACATGGGCGTATTAGTAGGGCCAATAGGTCTATAGTCCTAATTTAAGGAATAAATTATGACTATGGGTAATACTAGCTGAACATCTATTATTTTAAATAAGTCCTATTATTTATTTCTTACAAGTTTATCTATAGTTGCTCTAATTAAGGATTTAAACCTGTGAGGGCTTATACTCTTAATAAGACTAGATAAGCCTCTTCCTTAGTAATTAGATCTAATTAGATTTAGACTATAGGATTAAATCCTAGTCTTGCCTACTGAAATAGATTAGAATCTAGTTAGACTACTGAATATACTACTATTATAATTAACTTTTAAAATAGGTTTAGACTACTACTATAGTCCGTATTCAGCTCTAAAAGAGTTAAGATTAGGCTAGTATAAGATCTATTATAAGAATATTAGCTAATTAAAAAGTAGAATAAGATCTATTTCTACTAGACTTTTAATTAATTATATATTATAAGGGCTGTGAGTTACGTACTATAAGAGCTGTAAGAAGAGAAAAGATTATAAAAACTAAGAGAGTTCTATAACTTCTCTTAGGAAAGAAAAGTATTACGTGGGCGTATCAGTAGGGCCAATAGATCTATAGTCCTAATTCAAGGAATGAATTAGTGACTGTGGGTAATGCTGGCCGAACGGCTATTGTTTTGAATAAGTCCTATTGTTTATTCCTTACACAGCTCTTATAGTAATACTAAAGAAGTAATAAAATATACTATTATTTAAAAAAAATATATATATAACTATAAATATTAACTAATTATTTTTAATGTTAATAATAAAGTTTTACTTTATCTATATTGGAGATATAAGCTTCTATACCTAAAGTATTTATATTATAAATTATAGTTCTAGTTTTCTAATCCTTACTAGATTATAAAGTATAATAATAGTTAATATAATATCTTAACTTTTTTCTCTATTAATAAGTCTATTCGATTGTCTCTATTATTCAATTAAAATACTATATAGATAATATTAGTCTATTTAGCTACTAATAAATTTCTTCTAATTCTATTAAAGATATTAAAGATAACTAGTATAAGATTAAGTATATTCTTAATAAGTAAGTTATAAGATATAGTTATAATTCTCTTTATACTAAATATAAGATATAGTATATTAGCTATAGCTCTTATTATAACAAATAGATCTATAAGTAGAATATTTATATAGAAGATGCTATTGCTAACTTTAAATATAACTATATTATGAATATTGATTAATTCTTACTATCCTCTCTGTGATGTATTTACTACCATTATATATATATATATATATGACGAGGCTGTTATATTTTTTTGACCATGGCGACTGTCACCTGACTGCGTCCGTACGGAGGCCTTCTTCCCCTGGATCCTCCTGGGGATCCTCTTAGAAAACACAACATCTTCAAGACATTCATGATCTCATATTTTCCCCATTTAACTGTATATAGCCTGGCACCAGTGACCCTAAAAATTGTAGCGGTGCTACTGTGCTGCTTCACACTTATAACTGTCAGTGGTTGTTGGCAATACAGTACCCACTGTACACAGCAGGCAGGCTCTGTCTCTGCCTGTACAGGGGTGTGTAAGGTTCCGTCATTGGCCCCAGCAGGCAGGCTCTGTCTCTGCCTGTACAGGGGTGTGTAAGGTTCCGTCATTGGCCCTACACCCATGGACAAGTACTTAAATCTTTGGAGATATTAACCATCATAGTGACCCAGGTTGTGTATTGGAATGTGCGACCTAGGAGAGTAAAGCGTCTGTATCTTGTCGTCACTATTGTAGCCTATGTGCGTACCAAAGTCACAAACTCATGCTATAAGTGACATGTTAGAAACACAAGTCTCACACTAGCAGTCTCTCTCTAGACATCAATGTGAGAAGGTAGTAGAACGTTGAGACGGTGCTCCGAGGCTTTCTGTACATTCAACCAGCCACCATGCCCAACAGCAATAATCTTGCCATCTATACAGACTCTTCTCCATCTCTCATCAACTTCGTCAAAGCTTATTCGGAAGCTTTCAACTTCGCGATAGGTGACTCTAGGATCATCGGTGTGTTTCCCGCCTCGATAAGCAGCGCTCAACAAGTTTAGAACCTGTTCCGATGCCATTGGCCCAAAATGGATGATTCTCAAGCAGCCATCTAAAGGTGTTGAAGAAGGCGATATTGTGAATCCTCGTTCGAGGCTTGACACTAAAGTCGCCACCACGTACATATGCTCTTCATGTGGTAAGGCGTCTGTCCGTCGCTCGCCAGTCTCCTTGTCAAACCATGTGAAGCTGATAAGACCGCGAAACTTATGCGCCTGGCAGCCATTCGAAGGGAAAAGAATCTCCTTAGCAGCCATTTGGAACCTCTCCGCTCCAAACTTGCGGTACTCGGCAGTGTCACTGTCCGCCACTAATGTAGCATGCATACCCCAACTTGCGACAACACTACCATATACTGTAAGATGATCACTTTGGCTGCGAGAAAGAAAGCTGAAATTCTCTTTCTTGCTGCCCGCTCCCATCACAAGTTCGGAACCAGGGGAAAAGGTGGCCAGGAATGCAGGTATTGGGTTGGGACGCCCTTGCAATAATGTCAAAAGTCCAGTTGTTCGCCTTGCTAGGAGCCCAATCGAATTCGCCATGGCATTGCCTGTTCCAGTCGGGATTAGAGCAATATTTGGCTTAATGAAATATTGCATCGCTGTACCATGAAACGAGTCAATTATGTCAGTTAGGCCTCCGTCACCGGAAAGCAGAATAACTGTTTGCTTTATGCCTGCTTGGGCATGGGGTATTAATCTTTCGCGACACAGTTTAATGATTGTCTGTGACGATTGGGTCTCATGAACCGCATACTCCGAGACACCGATCTGCGATAAAAAAGGTCTCACTATTTTTTCGAAGACGCTCTTGCCTGTGCCTGTCCCAGAGTTGCTCGATATAATCACGTGAATGTTCAATCTTTCCACCTTCTCGCGGCTGGAAGTTCCAAGGTAGGTAGGTACACCTTCACAGCGAAACCGTGACAGCTGCTCGGGCAGTGAGAGTATCTGGATAGTGTGGAGTGACATGGACTCGTCGGAAGTTTCCCTGCCTTTCTCATCCTTTCGTAAAAAGAGTAGAACATGTCTATTGCCTCTAGGCAGAATACAAATCAAATCGTTGATCGGGATGATGATCTCTTTCTGCATGCGCTCGATCTCGCATCGGATCACAGGTCCATGTAAATCACATTGAAATATCTCATCATCTGTGACTAGTGCCGGTGTCATATTGGTGCAATGCCTTAAGGAAATACCTTCCAAGGAACCTTTAACCAGGAGAGCGGACCGGAAAGGTGGATGTTGCGCCAAGTCAGGGGGGGGCTGCTATAGGTCCACCCTTATGAATGAAGGTCCTCAAGTTAGAACTGAGAGTCCGTCTATACTGATTCCCGAGATAACCTGCCTCTTCGGTTGCTTGCTTGCTAGTCGAGATTCGGAAGAAGGCGGGGTCATGGGGCCCATCCGCCTGACTGACGGCTTCGATTTAGTCGAGATTTATAACAACCATGCCGTCGATTCGGGTATTGTTAGGACGGTTTTTGGATGGTTGAGAAGCTGTTTTCATAGCTGAGATGTAATAATAAACTTAGATATACCAGCCCTTTGTTTTTGCAGGATATCTTATTGCTGCTGTTACATATTTCTAATATATTATATCTTAGATAAATAAAATATATTCAATTTTTTGAAGATATTATAACTATAATATATCTTCTTATTATAATATAGACTTCTTATATAAGATATTACTACTGTAAGATATTATTACTATAGGACATTATTACTATGGGACATTATTACTATAAGATATTATTATTATTAGATTTTATTAAAGTAATATATTATAACTATAATATAATATTTTACTATAATATAGTCTTCTTACTATAAAATATTCTATACTGCACTATATTTTGTAGTTGTAAGGGCTAAAGCAACCCTTCCAACCTTCGCGGTTAGTCGCGAAGGGAAATCTATATAGCAGGCCTCAGGCACCAATCACGTGATAACTAAGCGAGCAGGCTGCGACCTCCTATCTAGGGGGCGTGTGACTCGCGGATCAGGCAGATTAGCAACAACACCTTAAGGCAATCAACTGGCACCTTTGGTCTCGCAAGGCTATTCGTTCATCACGCTATTTCACCATCTTAGCCCTTATAGTAGTAATAGTATTTTAAGTAGTCTGTAGTTGATATGCTGGGCTCGAGGCCCTTCTTAGACACCAAGACATCAAGATATCATGACCATACAAAGTTGTTGATTTCTTTATTTATCTTCCATAAAGTGAGATTCTAAATATAGAAGACTAATAAAGAAGAAAGAAAGAATAGTTAATTAATGAGTAGTCTTCTTATCCTTATAATATTCTTATTATTTTATTAATATATAAGTTTATTAGAATAGTATAAGTTATTATTATTATTATCTCTAGTAAAGATTTCTTAGAAATAAGATAAAATTAGTAGTATTCTTATTATCATCTAGTACAGTTATATTCTTATACTACTAAAGAAGTAATATAATTATATATTCTTTCTAAAATATACTAGTATTTTTTTATTTACAATATTCTTAAGAATATCTTTAAGAATATTAATAAGAGATATAAATTCTATAAATATAGCTTAGACGTTTAAAGTGATTCTATTCATCTAATTAAGTATAGTAATAGCTACTATAGAGTTTAGAGTAAGAGTATATTAGTTTACTATAAAAGTAATATCATATTATCTTTTATTCTTCTTATTAACTTTAAATACTAGATTAACTATATCTATTTTAAATTAATTCTAATTAACATAATAGTAAGGAGAATTATAATTATAGTTAGTTCAAAGTCTAAGAATCAAAATAATATATTATTCTAGTATAAATTTATCTAAATATTTAAAATTATTAACTTTATCTTAGATAGTATTAGTTAGATTCTAATATCTAATATTCTTCTAAAATATAATCTTATCTATCTTCTTTTATATAAATCTAGACTATTTAGTAAAGCTAAAAACTAAGATTATTACTATATCTCTCTTTATAATTAACTTAACTAAAACTTAACTAATAATATAGCTAGTTCTAAAATATATAATATGTTTATTAGTTTAGAAGTATTAGAAGAGATATTTAGTAATTTAAGAATATCAAAAGAGATATTTAGTAGTTTAAAGTATTAGATATAATATTTAATACGATAAAAATATTAGATATAATATTTGGAGCTAAGAAAATATATTAAGATAAGATAGAAAGAATAGTAATATTAGTCTTCTTAGAAGTAGATATAGTAGCTAGAGATAATAGATACTTATTTAAGAATTTTACTTATATTTATAGACTACTAGATATAAATATTCAATTCTATAGCTTATCTGAGAATAGATTTATAGATAAAATAAGATCTAAAAGTAGATTTTTTACTATAAGATTCTAAAGTTTTAAAACTTTTGTTTTTTTACTACAGTAAAGTATATAGTCTTCCTTATAGTCTATGTAGATAGATATAGAGAAGTTCTACTATAGAATAGTATATAAAATATAGAAAGAAATAGCTTGAATAATATTAGATTTATTAATAGTAGAACTATTTACTATAATAGAGTTTATTTTAACTATAGTAGTTATTATTTATCTAGTAACATTTATAGAATACTATATACTTAGTAGTTAGATTTATAGAATAATCGAAACTAATTGTAAAAAATATAGATATATTAATAAATAGAAAAAAAAAACTTCTTATACATATAGAAAATAAAAACTTTACTAGAAAAAATATAGAATTAATATAGATTTTCTTAGTTACTAAAATTAGCTAGATAGTAGAGACTTCTATCTACTATTAATAATTTATAAATAATTAGTAGAATCTAAATATTACTAAGATAGATATCTTATAAGAGCTACTCGCATAATAGTAGTTCTAGTTTAAAAGTAATTCTAGTAGTGTATTTTTTATATAATTAAATTATATCTAGAATATTATCTTCCAAACATTTATTTATTAGAGATCTAGATACTTCTACTATTTTCTTATAAACTAATATATACTTAAGATAGTTAAGTAGAATAATAGTTAGAGATATTAAGTATATAATAAGAAATAAATATTACAGATAAAAGATCAAAAAAGAAGTAAAAGAGTAGAGAAGATAAAGATAATAGATATTAGAAAGAATATATTATAAAGTCTTAAAATTATAGAAAAGATCTTTTATATTGAGATATTTTTTATTTTTTTTACTTGTTATATTTAGATCTATAGCTAGTATAGTATATCAAATACTTATTTAACTAATTACTATCTTTTAATAGTATACTATATATAAATTTAAAAATAAGAATATAATAAATTTTATACTTTTTATCTCTTAGATAGATTTCTTTTATAACTAGATATAGTTTAGTATATTACTAGTTATATAGATTGATTTTATTTAAAGTAGATTTTAATTAGAAGATTAATACTACTAAATAGATTCTCAAAGACTTAGAAAGCTTTAAATAATAGACTAAATAATTAATTTACTTAGATATAGTTAGAGAACTAATATATTAATAATTTAATTTTTTTTTTAAAATCTTTCTATATCTTATTAGAATTATATATTCTTTATAAAAATAAAGATAGATCTTATCTTTCTTATTAAATTGAATTAGCTTATAATTTTAGTTATAAATTTATTTTCTATTAGTAGTAGTAAAGTTATATACTTCTTGTTGGACAACTTTCCTTCCTTGTGTCTTATGAGGCACTGATCCTTCCTTCCTTAACCTTCCTTCCTTATCCTACTGTCTTTCTTTAATCTATATTTAGAATCTCATATAGAGGAAAGACAAGAAGAATAAATAACTTTATATAATTATAATATCTTAATATCTTAATATCTAGAAAGAAGACTTCAGATCTAATATATTAACTATAAATTAATAATCTATTCTAAATAATCTTAGATTTCTCTAGATTTATTTTTAGAGTATAGAGATTACTTCTCTACTATCTTTATCTCATATTTTCTTTACTACTAGCTAGGATTTCTGATTATTTTTCTTATATAGAAATATCTGTAATATACTAAACTAGACTATTAGATTATAATATTCTATAATATATTAAGAGGCTGATATATCTACTAACTAGATAAAAATATAGTATACTATATTATCTATATTATTAGAATATCTAAATTACTTAAATTAGTAGATATTAGTCTCTATTCTCCCAATTGAGATATTAATTATTTATTTGTTTTGAATAAGACTATTAGAGAATTTAGATATCTTATTAAATTTCTACCTCTAAAGTCTATATATATATGCTAACTAATAGAATAATTAATTCTAGAGATTAATCTAGATTAATCTCTTAAATATATAAGATTAAGATCCTAATCTATTAGTAGAGTATTATTTAAATCTAAACTTCTAAGATTTATAGAAGTAGAGATACTAGAAGATCTAATCTTCTTTAGAAAAGTTTTAATTCTCTTCTCTTTTATAGATATTCTTTAGAAGAATATTAATAAAATATCTAAATATTAGACCCTATAGATACTAAGATAGCTAATTCTAGAAGTATTTATATTATTTATATAACTTTTAAGTACTTCTACTAAATCTTAGTTGTAATATTTTTATAAAGTCCCTATGTTAAGAATATTATACTTAGAATCGAAATCTATATTATTAGTATCTTCTAAATCTATATCTTTAATATCTATAATATTTCTATCTAAAGTATCTTTCTCTACTTTAATATTAATTCCTAGAGTATCTTTCTCTACTCTAGAACTAAATCTACTATCTTTTTTCTTATTTAATAAATATCTATATTCTATATATTCTAATAGTAATAGATAATTCAAAGAAACTATCTCTTTCCCTTTATCTTTTACTAGATTCTAGTATATTCTTTTCTTCTACTTTTAATTTATTTATATCTTTTAATCTATCTATATTAAATAGAAAGTTTCTAGAATCTATATAATCTTATTTATAGAATTGATTAGATACTATAATAATAATAAAAGCTAAGCTAAGCTCCTCATATAGCCTAGTAGATAATAAATATAATAATATAATATAATTCTAGCTTACTAAAATTATAATAAAGTTAAGAAGTATAAATTAGTATTTCTATAATTTTAAGTAAAATTATAACTAATAGAATTGAAAATAGTATAGAAAAAATAAATATAAAGAATAATAATACTCTAACTATAGACATTGAAATACTAATAATAATAATTAATAATTAGTCTAATATATATAAGCTTTAAAATCTAATAATATTTTCTATTTTTTTTAGATATAAAGATAGATTAATATCTTAAATAATAAGAATATATTATATAGTTTAAGAATATTAATCTTTTTATTAATTAAGTTAGAGATATAATTTAAGTATACTAAGAACTAGTAGTATATTAAAGTACTACTAGTTATTTTTATAATATAGCTTTTAATTAGTATCTTATATTTAGTAAGTATAAAAAAGA